ACGTAGTCAAGTTATCAATGGAATAGTTCATTTGGATTAGATTCTGGAGCGAAGATCGTTTATTTTTTTCTAGAGTAGACTCATTCCTCCCATAACAGCAGACTCCACACTAATCATAAATTTTTCACGAATATCTGCTCTAATTGCTAAGACAGATAAAGGCGGAATTAAGGCTGGATAGTAGAAGTCGGCTAGGGGATCTAATTCGAATTCTCCGACATACATAGTCCCAATATCTTCTAAATAATCCGAAAGTCTATCAACATATTTATAACCTTCACGAATCAACTTCTGGGATAGCTTTGGGGTGATCCATCGGCCAGTTAGTATATTAAGTACCGTTTTTTTCGTGTCCATAGAAATGAAATAGTATGATATTTTTCGTTTATGATATACTTTTTCCACCCAAGTTCAATTCGGATTTTTCATTTTGAAATTCGATTCTATAATGAGGAAGGTGCAAGAATATAATAAATGGATCGTCTTACCTGCCCACATATTAGAAAGGATGGGAGCACTTGTGGCCGAGTCTGCACCCGCTTGGCAGGATGTTCTCTCCACTGGAAATCGGGTGCAAATAATATGCTAAAATCTCCATGTAGAATATGCGATAAACCTACATTATCTTATACGGGCTATTGCTCCAAGCATGCCAAAAAAATTTATCGTCGCCTCGAAAGAGAGAGACAACGAATAAGTTTGTCATAATGATGATGCCTACTTGTATGATGGTCGGTTACTTTAGTAAACCCTATTAATAAAAATTTTCTTGGCACTTTCCGAGACGGCCCGACCCGGAAATTTTTTGGTAATTTTCAGAACATTGAACGATTCCTTTCATTATATAAAATTATTGATAATGTCAGTTAACGAAGCTAACCCATCCGAGCTTGAAGTATTGAGACAGCGTATCATTGATCTAGAGACTGAGAACAGTAATATTAAGGCTGAGAAAGCTGAACTTGAAGCTAGAGATGCTGAGCTTAAGGCCAGAATTGAGGAGCTAGAAAAAAATAAAGGAGTTACCACCAAACTTGAGTCCGAGAATTCTGAGCTTAAAGCTAGGGTTGCGAAATTGGAGGAGGATTACAGGCAAATGCAAAATAGTAATGTTACCAAGGTAACTATTTCTCCTAACAACGGTTCACCTAACTTCAATTCTATTACAGAGCAAATATCAGAGAGCAAACAGGGTGTGGAAATGGATACTTCATTACCATAAGAAGCGATACCAGAAGTTTCACCTCCCAGCCCTAAGCCATCGAAGGAAAAGGAGATAGATTCTTTCCTGGACAAAGTATATAAGAAAAAGGTTAGTGATGATATTAGGCAGAGAAATCGGGAAAAGAAACATCAAGCCCAAGAGTCTCTTCCAACACATTCCGAAGAGAAAATGCCTCAAGAGATCAAGTGTCCTACCTCTGATCCTGCGATCCATGATCAAAAGAGAGTTACCGGGGGTAGCAGGTCACATAAGAAAAAAGAAATGGATGAATTCAAGCATGAATTATTCAATCCCCCTTCGAAATCTGATGGTCCATCCTCTATAAACCATAATAATGTGTCCGAAATTTCTGAGATGGCCCGTCCCAGAAAAGTTACCTATGATAGCATTGATGAAGCCTCACAACATCTAGCTCAGTTATGTGACAAAGCCATCGATGCCGAAGATAGGGCAAATCGAGCTAATCAGGAAGAAATTTTATGTTGGTGCCTCTACTGGAAGGATTTCAGAGATCAGCTTGATGAAATTATCAGAAGCAATGGTGGTAAATTTGGTGAAAAGAAGGCGAGAAGTATGCTTTATGACACCATCACAGTACAGCTTTCTATCCTCCACAAGAAAAGATCACAAGAATTGGGCTAAAAGTTAGGGTTGTATCATGGGATAGCTTGCATAAGAAAACCCAGAGAGCTGAAAAAAACTATAAATTATTCGAAAAAGTAGGTCTAGATAAGATCAAGTATATTAATTCATATAGCGCGAATTCCATTTCAGAGCTTACTGATGCGCAATTTCAAGAGATCATAGATTATGGTATATCTTTGGAAAAGTTGTCTCTGGAAGCTGGTCATGTGTCTGAAATTTCTGAGACAGCCCGTCCCAGAAAAAAATTGCCTGAAGTAAATACACCATCTACACCTCAAATCACTCCAGCTAAAGCAGATGATAATAATCTCACAGATCTCAAGGAGGAAGATTTCTGTGGTGGTGAGGTGTTGATCGCAAATGTATTGTCTGCATCTCAATCTTATGACTGCACATATTTTCACAACAAGATATTGGATCAATATCCTAATCTATATAGAGAATTTAGTAGTGAAAATTTCAATTATTATGGGATCACTGATGATATATCATGCCCATTATGCAAACTAGGTCATGATGATGAAGAAAGTATAGAAGGTAGATATAAAGCTGGATCCTATTTTATTAAATGTGAACAGCGCGAAATTGAGATAGTTGCATAGTCTGGTCAATTTGGCCAGAAGCGCTTCGCATAACCCTATATTTGTTCATGCTTCATTATGATATTTTTAGAGGGCTATTTTATGTCAACTATTGCCTACTGTAATTTAAACTGATTTGCAATTATATAAAAACGCAATATGAGCAAGTCTGATAAAATATTAACCCCTTTGTATCTGGATTGGCATGCCAAATTAACTGGTTTACCAAGAGTTTTGATGGATAAGATCTGTTCCAATTTATACAAAAAATATAAAAGAAAAATGGGACTTGAGCCATGGCAATTATCAGGAGGTCACCTCATAAATTCAAAGCCAGAAAACAAAGTATCAGATTTATCTTTTTCTGAGCAATGTGAAGAAAAAGGGCCTATCATGTTCGAAGCCAAACCTGATTCAGAGTTAATTATCAAATCCATGTTAGAGCATTTCACATACTTGAAATTCTGAAATAGTTTTAGAGGGATTGATAATTATAATTTTGCATTACCTTAGCCGTAGAACTCATCATGCCCTATTTGCAATAGAAAACATGGGAATTATGAATTACATAGTGAATGGTACCACAAAAATAGGAATCAGCTCCCTTATGATCCCGAATTAGCAAAGTTGTATTCCCAAAATAAGTTAGAATATTGTCTTACCTGCAACACTTCAAGTAATAATCTCAAGTTAATCGTAGCATAGGATGAAAATTTATTTTATAGAATATGACCTCAGATCACAATATCACGTGATATATAGTGGGACAGTATGTGCGTAATTGACTTTTAAATATCAATATTATTTTGGCTTAATTTAGA